GTATATGTGAACTGCTGTATGAAAAGTGAATTTACTCTGTAAATCTTCACCCAAATCCTAATTAAAAAAAAAAAAAAAAACCTCAAGGTAAGTTATTTTATTGACATCATACCAGCATTCACATATAAAAGGTATTTTCATGTTTCAACTTTTTTTTGGAAAATAAAAGCAAAATGAAAATACAGTCAAATAACATATTGTACAAAGATAACAATGCTGCCAAAATTTAAGTGTTAGTTGGGCAAGCAGCACCCTCATACAACAGGTTAAAATAATCAAGTAAAAATTCAAATCTGGTGTTTGCAAAAGATGATCTGGGGTGGGGATATGTGTCTCAATGTGTGATGTAAAGTGTAATAAGCTGCATTTAAATATTCAGAGATTTTTTTAATTCCCAAATTAAAAAAATATATATATCTATCACAGCATGTAAAGGGAGAATCCTCTTTCTCAGTTACCTCAGTGCACTTTACAATCTTCTCATCAGTTTCAAAATCTGTTTCCAGTTCTATTTTTTCACTAGGAAATCCTTGTAATGACATTCCATCCACAGAACTAATAACACTACAGAATAAAACATAATACAATAGAGTTATTAGTGCCACAGTGCTTTTTATTAAATGGGTTATTAGATTTAAACTAATGTAATGAGGAGAAAAATTAGAAAATCTGTAAATTTAAATAAAGCAACACCAAAATATCTCAATTATATACAAAATAATTAAGTCTATAGTTCACATTCATTTACCAAGATTTCTTGATTGTGTAGTTGTATTTTTTGTTCACGAATACATATATCTACTTTCTCATGTGGCCAGTCAAGACCTTAAATAGTCACCTAAAAGAAAAGCTGTCTCAGGAATTAAACCTAATTTTGGAATCTTTCAGCATTAGTCCTCTTCTTTCCTTGCCCCAGAGCCCTTAGCCAATCTCCGAAAAAGAAAGAAAATGGGTAACCGAAAAGAGGAAGGAGTGGCAGTAACATTCTGTAAGTCCTCTAATGTATTTATTATTAAATTCAATTGTTTGTATTTACAGTTAATCAATACAATACAGACTAACCGTCCAAAAGGAATCCTTTACTTACTTGAACAAAAATAAGTACGTAAGACCAAAAATAAGGTCTTCCCTTTCTCAGCCCTGGCATTAAGCCCACACTGCTACACAGTAGATCTTTTATCATTAAAGATGCCTCTAAAATTGACCATTCATTAATATATTTATAGTTCCCTGACCAAGAAAACACAAATGAGGCTGCTTAAGTACATGTATGAAAAGAACAGACTATGTTCATTAATTGGTATATAATCATTTTAATTTATAGTATAATTCAATGTTCATCCATAAAATACTTAATTTTATTAACAAGATGCTTTTAGCCTACCTCACAATCACACCTATTACATTTTAATAATTAAAAAAAAAAAAATTCCTACCCTTTGTTTCCTTTTTCTTCAGAATCTACCCAGCAGATATCCACATATTCTCTCAGGTCTACTGCATCAACTTTCCCACATGTAATTTTAAAGTCTTTTTGTTCTCGTAGAGCAAGCCGCAAGCCATCCATGGTCTCTGGAGTTATTTGTACCATAAGGCCATCTAGAAATGAGTTATGGTTCACATTTCCTTTACCAAATATTAATATACACAACTAAGCCGTAAAATTTATTATCAAAATATATTCTGTGAAAGATACAAGTTTTAAATCATCCATAAAATGATCTTAATTGCTGTTTTGCAGTGGGAAATACAAAAGTGTATTTTATACCGTTAGGGATTTTTTTTTAAAGTTATACAAGTAAGAGTGAAAATTTACGCCTCTGGCTATACTGAAGTAACTAGTACCAAAACCAGCCCTTTTGTGACAATCAACCGCTTTAAAACTGGACAAAATGTATGAGGTAACTGGACAACAGGTCCTATCATACTGTGATTCCAAATGGGAAATTCAAAAAGTGAGTCCACAATCACCTGGGCTCCCTGCCTGGACGTAATTTCCTCACAGTGACCCACAAAGCTTATAATGGCCTTACTAAGCTTAGAACACAGAGACAGGAGACTTTCAGTAAGATGGAGGAATAGGCAGACAAGCGACACAGACCCTCTTCAACAAAGAAAAGAGAAACCAATTGACAGAGCTACAGAAGGTAATCCTGCAGTCCCGAGCTTTGAAAGGAACTATACAGAAGTGGATTAGGTACCAACTAGTGGAAAAACCTGAACGAAAACAGTGAGTACAGAAATGGTCGGAGCTGTGGACTGTCAGCTAGTCTGACGGGACTAACAGCCTGAATATTTCCAAGTCGTGTTGGGACCTGAGAATTGACCTAGGGATCAGCTCTGGTCACCAAGGGCTGCAGGGACGACTGTACTGGTGGCCTATGACTAGGAAGGGAAACAGCAAGGAGGGAGACAACCTGAGCTGTTGACTTTTGGCTGTATGGAGGGCGCAGCCATTTTCATTGTTTACACGCAGCAGCCATTCTGGATATTTAAAGTGACCAAGGGTGCAGCCATTTTGAATCTTTACAAGTGGCAACCATTTTGGATTTTAAAGTGATAGCATTCTCATTCGACTTCCAGGGGCCTAAGAATAGGCTCTGTGTGCAAAGGTCGGCAGGGACATATGAGAGGCTGACAAAAGGAAAAGAGACAGGTGGTGAGTGTGTAAGCGCTGTCAACTAGCGAACAGAGAAGCACAGTACCCTGTTTGCATAGATAACATACACAACAAAACAAAGAAAATGAAAATCATGGACAAGTCACTCCAATATACAATCACCAATTAAATATATACACAAAAACGTCACAATGCCTCAGAGACAACAGAGCATCACAGTTCACACAAAGAAGATAAAGCAGGAGAAACAATGGACCAGGATATAGACCCAAAACAAATCCCTGAGGAAGATGCAGCACTGGAACTCCCTGATAAGGAATTCAAAAGAATTATAGTTAGGTATCTTCAACAAATTGAGAGACAGATCAAGGAAAACACAGAGAAAACCCTAGAACAATTTCAAAAGACAAGAACAAAATGACAAAATAAATGAAAAATTAGAAATGATACAAAATCTACACACAAAAATGCAGAAAATTAATACTAAATTTTCTGAAATAGGTAAGACGTTGAATGGACAAAAGAGCAGAATTGAATCAATGGAAGACAGAATTAGGGAGATTGAAGGCAAATATCTAAACACTTCTTTGGAAAGGGATCAAAACAAAATGAAGAAAGCCTAAGGTTCATGTGGGATACCATCGAAAGGAATAACCTATGTGTAATCGAAATTCTGGAACAGGAAGAGACAAATAAAACTACAGAAAAAATTGTCCAAGACTTGTTGGAAGAGAATTTTCCTGGTATGATGACAGATGAGAATATATCCATTCAGGAAGTCCAACAAAGCCCAAACAGGGTAGACCCCAAAAGAAAATCACCCAGACATATCATCATCAAACTTACAAAACCAAAGACAAAGAAAGAATCATGAGAGCAGCACAGGAAAAAACAAAAAGTTACCTACAAGGGGCAACCAATAAGACTAAGCTCAGATTTCTCAATAGAAACCATGCAGCAAAGACGACAATGGGATGGTATATATAAAATACTGAAAGAGAAAAATTTCCAACCAAGAATTATGTACCCAGCAAAATTGTTCTTCAAATATGACATTAGGACATTTCCAGACAAGCCGAAATTAAGAGAATTTGTTAAAACCAGACCACCCTTACAAAAGATGCAAAAAGGAGTCCTTTGGATAGAGAAGCAACAACAGCAAACAACAACTGACCATTAACACATATGATGATATAAGCCAGAAACAAACCCAGCTATGAAAGTATCCAGAGAAAAGAAGCTTACAAGATTGTAAATAGGAAACCAGAGACATCAATTGACAAATGAGGACAACTACAAACCAAAAAGAAGGAAAAAACTGCGTCATTACAGAAAATCTAGATGATAGGGAAGTCAAGACAACTACCAGACAGAAGAGACTGTCCTAAACTTGGGAAGAAAACTGTAAATCACAGGGTAACCGCAAAGAAAAATGATAAACCTTCACATCAAAAAAGAAGACCAGAATAAATATTCAGCAAATAGTAAAACAAAAGCAATGAAGGAAGTGATGCTATGATTAATAAACAAAACAAGCTCAGCATAGAAAATTATATGGAACAAAGAAATTGACATCACAAAAAAAAGCACATGACAAAAATGACAGCAACAAATTCATATTTGCCGATAGTTACATATCTGGCAAGGGAATTATCTCTAAGATTTATAGCGGAAGAGTGGATGACTAAACTATGGTACATACACATAATGGAATGCTATGCAGCACTAAAGAATAATATAGTCTGCAAAACACCACATAACATGGATAAACTTGGAGGACATTATACTGAGTGAAATAAATCAATCACAGAAGGACAAATATAGTATTAGTTCACTGTTGTGGAGGGTCAAGGAAAGGTTTATTTTTGGAGGGAAACTTTCTTTGTTGGTTGCCAGCGCTGAGAGGCGATGAGAAGGAACACTGCAAAAACAAAAAAAAAAGCATTGACTCATGTCACTTTAGTTTTATGTATTTCACTGTACACAAATTATATTTCAATAAAATGCATTGAGAATGAAATGAAATTATTAAAGTACTAGGAGGGGAAAAAAAAGAACACAGAGATAAGAGTTTGGGGAAGCTCAAATGCCTGTAATCTGGGGTTAAAACACTGAAAAGGAAGGTACTTCATGGAAGGGCTTCCAGAAAACTATGTACTGGGGAATCCCTTTTGAGTTCTTGGACTAGAGCTGGGGGTACATTGGATGGGACTTGGTAAGGCCTAGAGAATCGCTGTTACAGGGTGAGAACAGAACAGATGCTAGAAGTAAAGGAATGTGAAGAGATGTTGGTGGTCTGAGCTAGCCAAAGTGGTGGTGGTGGTGTTGTTATGTGCCATCGAGTCGGACCCAACTCATAGCGACCCCTCCTTGGGTTTCCGAGGCAGTATCACTACGGAAGTAGATTGCCCAACCTTCCTTCC